GGGGGGGGGGGAGGAGATCTGCCAGTTCGTTTCCTTGTAATTTTCTTTTTTTTAAGTGCTTTTTAGGGGGACAATATAATTAATTAAAGGTTCAGGCTAGTTGGACCCTAGGTAAAAGTGCTTTTACTAACTTTCTGAGAAAGCAAAACAAAACAGTGAACTGATGTCATTTCTTCATGTTTAAATACTAAACTTCCAAGATGAGTATAACTTGTAGTTTTCCCTTGAATGATTCAATCCTATGAAAACAATAATTCTAACTTTTAATAAACCAGTGATACGTGTTTGGGCCTGTCATTATAGTTGTATCTTTGGCAGCACATACAATTCTTGGGACAATGGGTTTCATGTTAAGGTTGTGGATGGCCTATTTCTAATACATTATCTATATCCATTCTTTTTTTTATAGTAAAAAAGTAGATTTATTTGTATGCACAACAATGAAGGAAAACAGTCTCTGTCAAATGAAGAAGATTAAGATTCTTAAGTAGCTGATTTTGGGACCTACAACAATGAAAAGACTTGCTTTGTTGCCTTCAGATGTTACCTCTCTTTACCTGACACTTCAGCAGGCTTTTTTTTTAATGTTTTTATTGATTTTTAGAGAGGGAGAGAGAGACAGAAACATTGATGACAGAGAAACATTGGCCAGCTGCCTCGTGCACGGCCCTCACTGGGGATCAAGCCCGAAACCAGGCCATGGGCCCTGACTGGGAATTGAACAGGTAACTTCTCTGTGCATGGGTTGACACTCAACCACTGAACCACACCAGCCAAGCTTCAGCAGGATTTTTAATTGGGCCTTCCTACTTGGCCTGATTTTCTAATCTCTTGTGATATAGAAGCTGACGTTCCACGTAGCCTGTGTTTTTCTTGTGTTTATCCAGGTACTTTCCCATGAAACATAAGAGATCAGTTTCATTGTTGGCAGAAGCCACGGTCTTCAGGTCTAGCAGAGGCCCAGTTAACTTGCTGTCCAATCCAGAGCAGACTCTAGAGCCTGTATGCCAGCTCACCAGTTATCTCTATGTCTATCAGGCCTCTTAATCACCGGAAGGCAGGTTTTACCCCCACAATTTCTTAGATACCTTAGGAATCACTTTGCATGTTCCTTCCTCACCTCATCTAGGTCTTTGAAGAATGCAGCAAAAAGAGGTTTTCCATATCTTCATTGTAATAACAGGCCATAGATAAATGTCATTGACATGCAGCTAATAAGATGCCACGTGATTAATAACAACCCTACACTCTTCAGAGAGGAGACTATGGACCTGGGATGCCATCTCAGCAGTAGAGGAAACCAGGCATAAACAGTGCTCTACATCCATTCTTAAAATTGTTTTCCACCAAAATTTAGACATACTCAACTCAGTGGGTAACTTTTTCAACTAATATAAAATAATTATGCCAGCATTAGAACCTTCTACCATGGCCCTGATCTTAGCAACTATAACAGTGATGTTTATTAAATAAAGACAATATTGTAGGCACATACAATAGAAAACTACTTATAAGTTTTACCCTTTGAAATTATAATCACTCTTAATATATGAACAACATGAAGTCAGGTAAGTATTTTACATATCTTTATATCCTCTGATCTAACTCAGATCCTTTTCGTGTGTATTATAGAAGAACTCCAATATAATACACATGGCTATTGCACAGGTTTGGGTATTATGTAAGCCAACTCATGTCACCCAGAATGTAAGAACTCAATATATTTAGTGGTATCTTAGTCAGTGTGTCTCAAGTTTTTGCCAATCAAAAAAGTAAAAAAAAAAAATTTTTTACATGTAGATATAAAAAAAGCTTCGCTAAACAATGCTTACCCTTACTACATGGAATATTCTTTTATGTTTAAACCCTCTAAATTGATTCAATTATTCTATTAATGGGTCACTTGGGAGAGAGTTCTCTGTGAGTCTGTTTCTGTTTGTCTTTCCATCAGAGGGAGTAACTCCCTTTTCAAGGATGTTGTACTTTCAGGGATGTTTGTATAGCAAACATCCTTGAGCGACAAAGATGGTATCTCCTCCAGAGCAAGGGACATATTTGTTTCCTGTATATCAGGCAGGCTTGCTGCCAATTATAAAAGATTCAAGATCCCTATGCTCAAAGTATCTCTCCTGTAATGCAACCCATTGTGCATGGAGTCTCGATCTAAGTGTCACCCTGTGGGAACTGGGGCTTGAGAACCAAATGCAAATGCTGACACCCTGCATGCTACAATTGCTTTGTCTCTGAGCCAGGAGTCTTGTATCTTCTGCCAGCATCCTGAAACTGGCAGGCTAACATGTTAGCTGCAAGCAGGGTGAGGTCTCAGACCCTTCAGAGCTCTTGACAGTCACAATTCCCAAGTCATCAATTAAGTCATAAAGCCAACTTTTCTAACTTATTTCTTCATCTTAGTTAGAAAGCAAATAGAAAATATATTTTTTGCAGCATCAACTTACTAATACTGAATTATGCAATGAGGTCTTTCAGAAGCACCTATTCTTTCAGCAGAATGAAGTCTCTTACTCATCTGTCTTTACTCATGAGCATCATTCAGCCTGAGAGCCTCCTGCCTGTCCTTGAGGTTTTCATAGTTAGAAAAGACAAAACACAGACTACTCTAGGTGATAAGGGTTTATTTGAGAATACCTGCAGTAATGAGGAACCCCAGGAACATACTCAGCAACTTAGAGCCATTCTGCGTCTCAGTGCTCCTAGAACTGTAATGTTCAGCAGATGATAAAGTACTTACAGAATGACTCATAGCCATGCAGAGCACAAAGCAGCTCCAGGGACCCACTTTTTCTTTCGTGCTCATGTTCACACCACCACAAGAGGTTGGGTCACTTACACTGTCAGTGTTTCACCCCCCAAGTTACTTTCTCAGGCTGTAGCTCTCACATACATCTGCGTGGGTGTCTTTGGCTCTGGCTGAGTCATTTCAGCCAAGGTAGCAGGGCTGCTTTCATTTGAATTCCAAAACACATGGTAAAAGCCATAGCTACGGGAAGAAGAATAGCCGGATGTTGTTTTTCTTTGCAGAGATCCAGGGCAGATAATAGCCGTCATTGTCCCGTCTACTAGAGTCCCTCAAGTAACATCTTAACATCCTTATACCTAATGACAAAGCTGCAAACACCTGCCAGGTAAACATCAAATCAGAAAGTTCTAGAGGTTAAAGCACTAAAGAGATAATTCAGCTACATCTCTTTACTGTATAGGTGAGTGAACTGAGTTCCCCAGGAACCCTGGGCTCCTACTCCCTGCTCAGCATAATTCTCACCTCATGCTTAGATATGGACAACATAACCCTCCTTAGGAAGGCGGCAAGAACACTGGCCTGGGCTTTCCACTCCTGCCAAGTGTCTGTTTCACGGTGTGACACTTCTCTCTCTCTCTTGTGCCCTCTCTCTCTCTCTCTGTCTCAATTCAATTAAATCACTTTAGACTTGCATATGGTCTGATTCACATTGCATTTTTAATTTTTCTCACTTCTTGAATGCTTCTGAATGATATCACTCAATTTTAAATATTCTCTAATTTCTACATTATGATTCACTTATTACCATGAACAACTCTGAAAAATTCTCAGGTTTTATAGTCTGCGTGTTTTTCAACCCTGGTCTCAGATTACAGTCTTCAGGAAGCTTCCTGACCAAAGAATAGGCTTCATGCTTTTTTGTGTATTTGCCCACAGCAAACAGTCATTGTGTGTATCCCTGATTACCTGGCTACCTCCCATACTGGACTTGTGAGCTCCTTATGGGCAAGACCCAGCCATAACTTATTCTGGTGTGGTATCTCAGAACCCAGCACTATGCTTGACCCAAGTTCAAAAAGGGGTTTATCATGCATTTTGCTCACCCCACCATATTTTCAAGGCCATTGCTTGTCCTCCAGGCTCCTTTCTGAACCTCATTTATTTCTTCTCATCTCTTGTTGCTTCCACAGGTTAATAGAATAAGTGTAACAATCTCTCAGACACAAAACTTTATCAAAATCTAACCCAAAGGTAATAGGAAAAAAGGTAGGAGCTGGAGATTACTACATTTAATTTCAATTGTGTGTCTCTTTCTCCTTAAGCTCAGGCTTCCATCTTTCAGCCTCTGAAGAGATATCAATGATAGTGACATATGTTTGGAAATATGGAGTAATCATATAGTCGACATACGTGGGCAAGTCAGCAAAGATGGTATGTCCAGCTTGTGGCTCCTAATAAGTAGGCAAAAGGTAGATGGATTTTAATGATTCCTGATTCTTCAGGATACCTACTAAGGCATGATCACAAAAGTGCAATTACTGTAGATTAAGAACAAGGAGCCCTCGGGGACATTTATATATCTATACTCATCCCTCTTCATATTGAAGAGAGGAACCAAGGGACTGTGGGCCAGGCTGCTGTGACCCATTGGACCCTGGACTAGCTGAGACCATGAGGCTGCCTGCATTTGCACACTCCAGGTTATTCTGCAGGGCGGGGCAGGCTGCCCCCTGCTTCCCTTCCTCATCCCTCTCCCTTTGCAAGGCTCTTGCCTTTGGCCATGGTTGTTGAGGAGTCCTCGATGGCCAAGGGTTACATCGCCTCCCACCACTTTCCTCCAGGGACTCTGGCCTGGAAGCCAGCTCCCTACCCTGGTGTACTTGTGCCTGGTCTGACCAGCCTAAATGGGCTGTGCCAGCTGGCACAGGTTTGCTCTTGACTAAATGTGTTTTAAATTAAAATCATTTGTTGTATTTATTGGAATGATTACTTAGTTCTCAAAGGCTTGTAATTTAGGCTTCCTATCATAACTTCCTTAGCACCTGGCACAGACACAGCCAGATGTAATTGTTGATTGATTACATGATGCCTTGTGCCTGGGTAAAGTGAGGGGGGCAATGCTCAGTTGCATTAACCATATGCAACAGGATATTAGATGTAAGTTTGCTCATTGTTTTAGAGTTTGGCCTGAGATCCAAAAGCTGAGAACAATGGGAATGAAAAGCCCATACATTTTCAAGAGAGATGCTTGCCGGCTCATCTCCCCAGACTTACTGTCAGGATCGCCAAAGCAACGTGGTCGGTCCCTCTCCTCCACCTATGCACGATCAGTGGAGAGGGGTGAGTGAGGAGTCCTTTAAAGCTAGTTGTTGGATGCTGTTCTTACCATCACCATCCTCCTATCTCTACCTCAGACAGAGTGATAGGGGTGTGGATGGAACCACTCAGAGAAAACAACAACACATGTGCCCTAGAGTGAGAAGGCACAGGGAGTAGAAAAGTGTAAAGGTGGGAGGTTGATGGGCGATACCCGGGTGAGCACAGCCAAGAGAGAGGCCTGCACGAAGCAACCTGGGCTCACAGAGTTAAGCTGGGCTGGATTTTCTGCTCTAGACAAAGTGGTTGCCCAGCAAGTAGCCAGACTAGGACCCTCTTGAGATGAAACTGTCTATGAGGACTGCCTGCTTCCTAGATCAAGTTGGCTGTGACAAAGTTCCCAAGGCAAGGGCTGGAGAGCATGTCACCCACACCAGGTACTAGGGTCAAATGTCTCTGGCAAGAATGAGTAGAAGGCCACAGAGAACCAACAAAAGTGCACCCGCAGAGAAAGAGCCAGAACTGGGGCTTCCACCACTCAGATGACAGCAGCACCAGAGCAGGGCACCCCCATATAAACTCTTCCTTATGCCACTGCTCTTCCTCCCTCTGCTTGGAGCCAGTGTCAGAGAATCAGGACATGGGGCAAATGGAAACAACAGGAACATGAAGCCCCGGCTGCTTGCAGTGCCGTGGGTAATAAGCTCCCTTGTCTCTGATTCAGGAGTCTCATGTCTTCTGGCAGCATCCAGGACACTGTGGCCAGCTCACTTGGTAACTTGCAAGTAGAGTAAAACCTGAGACCCTTCACCATTCTTGACATGATGTTGGAAAGAGAAGCACATTTATTTAATTGCTTGGTTCTATATAGTTCCAACTCCATTCAGAGCTACACAGCCAGGAGGATTTATGTGGTTGTGCATTTACCAGAGGGAAGATTCCGGGGAAGGTGAGCTTTTTTATTTTATTTTAATTTTTTTAAAGGAGTTTTGTTGTACTTAAAGCACAATAGGATATGTGGTCAGGGTGGTGAAGGTCTCACAAACCATGTAGTGTGAATATTGAAGGAAGAATCTAAGGAAGGGTCGCAAAATCAAATGAATTGCTTCAAGGAACAGTGTTTTCCTCATCATGGGAAGGAGTATGGGGCAGAATGACTTAATCAGACAGGTGGCTGAACTGGATAAATTCTAAGATTCCCTAGGAGTTTAAGAGGGCTTAATGCAGAATGACTATGTTGATTTAAGTTAATACCTGTAATGTTGCTGTCCATGTAATTAATATATTTTGCCCAGCGCCTTGATAAACAGAGAGGTTCTTTCTGTTTGAATTTGCTTAATCCATTGACAGATGGTTTTGTTGACAAAGACTGCTATTTGTCTCTGACATTACTTCTACATTTTATAACCATACGGCCATGGTGTTTGCTACAGCAGCGAAACAAAAGATTCTTATTGGTCTATCTATTCTCCAGTGAGATAGTAGCAATCCTTAATTCTAGGCAATATTATTAACAATTTTTTGCATGCCAGACAGTCTGTTAAGCACTTACCATGTTGCACCCCATTTAATTCTCAGAACAAACCTATGAAGTAAGCATTGTTATGACCCCTTTTTATAGATAAAGAAACTGAGATATAGAACATCATGTTGTTACCCAAAGTCTTACAACGCAAGTACCAGAGGGGAATCTGGATACTGGGCAGTCTGAGTTCTAAGCCAGTGCTTTTATTAACTACACATTTAAATGCAGAATCAGATGTGGAGAGAAAAAAAAATAGTTGTCAAGGAGGCATGCAATGTGCTAATTTTTCTAAGATGTTAGAGGAAAACATTCAAGTGCTTTTCCTAGGATACCAAAATAACCCAACTGCTCTTTGTTCATTTCTGCACATTGTGATGTTGAAGCTGAGACTCTGCAGGTTATTTTTAAAAATGAAGTATTTCACACTAATAGAATGGGAACTCTTTTTCTTTTAAAGAAAACTTTGTTTTTTGCTGACATTCTTGAGTTCAGTGGGAAAACAAGCAAGTTTAAAAAGCTAGAGATATCTAACAGCAGATCAAAACCTGAACATTTTATGCCTGGGGAAAATCGTTTTCCTGTTAAGGGTTCAGTCACATGATATAACTATGCTATGGTTATGTAATATTTTAGGACTCTTCAGAATTGGACGTGTGACAGTTGTTTTTCCAGACCAAAGACTCAGGGGTCAATGCTGATGGATTTCAGGGATAAGACCCTTATCCCTTCAGGCTCAGCAATAAGATTGTTAATTCTCGGCTGACTGCTCTTGTGACAAGTAAATGATGAAGATCTGTTAAAAGTGGATTAGAAAAAAATAACAATGCTACTTTTCCAATGTGAAAAAGTCCTTAAATAATGTTGGCTTTAAAAGGGGCATAGCTTTCCATAAACTTTATGATATTTTCAAAACCATTGAAAAACTATGAGGCCCACATGGTTTATACTTGAGACTAGCAAACTGGGACCAGATAGTAAATATTTTAGGCTTTGGAGGCCACATACAGTCTTTGTTGTGACTATTTAACTCTTCATTGTGGCGTGAAAGCAGTCATAGCCATATATAAACAAATGAGTATGATTGCTTTCTGACGCAACTTTATTTATGGACAACGAAATTGGTTTTCATGTAATTTCCAGTGTCACAAAATATAATTCTTTCCTTTGATTTTTTTAAAACTTTTAAACATATAAAACTCATCCTTAACACACAGGCCATACAAAAATAAGCAGAGAGCTGGACGTGACCTGCAGACCGTGGTTTGGTGAGCCTGGTTTACCCTAACCTCAGCCATTGAGAGCTGGCTGGTGAGGTCTTCACAGTTAGGTAGAGACTATGTGACTGGTTTTGGGCAATGGAATGCAGACAAAAACGAGATAAGCCATAAGCTTGACCTGACTCCTCAAACATCCAGAATAATCTTTCGTATCCACTCCTCTCCTCTCCTATCCTCTCAGCTAAAAGCA